CCAAGCATGGACTTGATTCCTAGCTTATGTATTTACGGCTAAACGGCTAAGCGATGTAATCAGCTGATGGCCGATGACTAATGCATAATTTTTTCGTTGTTATCAAGGAGTACAACATACCCTAGCATTCAAAACAGGTTAAGAACGTGACGCACTAGTATAATGAGTGCCGTGCACTCAATAGGTAATGAAAATGACACATACGACGTCGGCGGCATGTAAAATTACGTTCGGCAATTGCGCGTAAAAGTTTATCGGCGCATATTCGACTGCTGCTTTGAGGCGAAGGCACCAAGGTCAATCGGAACGAAACCAGAGCAGTCATGGGTGCCGCAGGAGGCTAACAAGGTGGCTCCCGTCAACAGGTATAGGGTCCTCGGGGCGCGCAAAAAGACCCCAGACCGACATGGTGGGTCCCTAAGCGACCGGCAGCACCCCGGCAAGCCGACATATCAGGCATCTGCGAGAGCACAGGACCTTCCGATCAAAGGGGAATCATCCAAGACCATGAATTAATATTCCTATGCGATCAAGAATGTACGGGCAGGTTGAAAACACGAGCCTCGATAGGAGTGAAGAGTCTTCCACAAATGAGACCAAAGAGAGGAGAGAGAGAGCCCTCGATCAAAGCAGACGAGAGCTCTCGATCAAAGCAGACGAGAGTTCTCGATCAAAGCAGACGAGAGCTCTCGATCAAAGCAGACGAGAGCCCTCGATCAAAGCAGACGAGAGCCCTCGATCAAAGCAGACGAGAGCCCTCGATCAAAGCAGACGAGAGCCCTCGATCAAAGGCAGGACGAGAGCCCTCGATCAAAGCAGACGAGAGCCCTCGATCAAAGCAGACGAGAGCCCTCGATCAAAGCAGACGAGAGCCCTCGATCAAAGCAGACGAGAGCCCTCGATCAAAGCAGACGAGAGCCCTTGATCAAAGCAGACGACCCCTGAGCATCGGGTGTCTCCGCGCTGTACCTGATAAGGGCCCTAGCAACAGCACAAGGCCCTTTAAGCAAGTGGAAAGAATCCGAGACTTATGTGAAGGGCCCCTGAGCAACTGAGTGTACCCTGACAGATGGGCCCCCGGGAATAGGTGTATAGAGCCTTTCGGGCGAATGGGAAGAATCCATGGGGGGAAACCTGAGCGATCAGTTGTGCTCGGGCATGGAGGCAGACAGCGTCCCAACAGCACATTGGGTCCTTCGAGAAAATGCAAAGAGATCAAGGGAAACGTGGAAAGCTCCTTAGCGATCATATTGACCCCGTAAGTGGATATATAGGGCCAGGCAACCAACAGCGTAATGCCTCTTAGCGTAATGAGCCCGAAAATTTTCCCCTAGAAACACTTGCTCAATTAGTGAAGAATGAACTTCGGCTGCCTATGAACTCTTTACTGTTGCCAACAATTGTTCTTGGTCGTCTGTAGGCCCAAAGGCATCCAGTTTTGCCGTTTTTTCACGTAAGAAACTGCGTCCGTCCAGCTGGTTATGGGCCCCTTCGGAGTCTTAAGGTTCCTTCGGCACGGTCTACGGGGCATGGTTCTATGCCTCCCCCCCCCTCACCTCTGCATCCGCCGCCGGCTCCAGCAGCTGATCAGATGGGGTTCGCCAAGAACATAGTGCCATCCAATCAAATAAGAAATACTCACGATGTAATGTGTAGGACTTTGAACGACCTGGTGCGCCTGAGCAGGTTAACATATAAGAGCCCCTGTCAAGAGCATAGGGCCCTCCATTCAAATAAAAAGTATTCAAGACCCAACGTAGAGTGCCCCCGAATGCTCGAGTGAGCCCGGGCAGGTTAACAGATAAGGTTCCCAAAAAGGGCGTAGGGCCCCCCACTCAAAAAGGAATGACCCAATGCAGAGAAACCCCGAATGATTCAATGCCTCAGAGCAGGATAACATATAAGGCCCCCGTCAAGAGTGTAGGCGACTCCCCCCCCCCCCCCCCCACTCCCCCTCCATTCAAATAGGAAGTACCCAAGACCTAATGCAGAGGGCCCCCGAATGATCGAGCGTGCTCGAGCAGGTTGAAAAACTAGGGCTCCCAACAAGAGCGTAAAGCCCTTCATTCGAATGGAAAGCACCGAAGACCCTATGCAAATGGCCCCAGAATGATGGAATGCGCTCGAGCAGCTTATCAGAAGCGCCCGACAAGAGCGAAGGGCCCTCCATTCAAATAAGAGTTACCCAAAACCCAGTGAGGAGGGCCACCGAAAGAAGAAGTATACCCGAACAAATTATAAGGTGCTTCGAGTATAGGGCAAGCACCGAGACCCAATATATAGGGCCCCGAACAATCCAGTGTGGCCGAAGCGGCGAACAGTTGAGGTCCCCGACAAGTGCGTAGGGCCCTCCATTCAGGCAGGAAGTACCCAAGACACACTGTGGAGGGTCCGGATATTCTTGTGTGCCCAGCAGGTTAACAATTGGGCCCCGGCAAGGGCGTAGGGCCTTCCGTTCAGATATAAAATACCCACGACACAGAGGAGGCCCTGAATGACCGAGTGCGCTAGAGCAAGTTAACGGATAGGGCTCCCGGATAGAGCGTAGGGCCCTCCATTCAAAAAGTAAGTGCTCAAAACCAGATGTAGAGGTCCCCACGTTCGAATGGGCCCCAGCATCTTGTCAGAAGGGGCCCCGACAGGAGCGCAGGGCCTTCCATTCAAATAGGAAGCACCCAAAACCTAGTCCAGAGGGCCCCCGAAAAACGGAGTGTACCTGAACAGGTTATCAGATGACCCTGATAGGAGCAGTGGGTCCTAAATTTAAACACCAAGGACCAATGTGCACGGCTCCCCGAGCAATTCAGTGTGGCTGAGGAGGCGAACAGAAGGGGCTCCAACAGAGGGAGCCCCGACAGAGGGGGTCCCCGACAGGTGCGTAGGGCCCATTTAGATAGCATGTGCTCAGGGCCCAATGTAAAGGGCTCCTGAACGATCGAATGTGCCCGAGCGGGTTATCAAATGAGCCCCCCCCCCCCCCCTACATGAGTGTAGGGCACCCATTCAGAAGTACCCAAGACCCAGTGTGAAGGGTCCCCAAACGACTGAGTGTGCCTAAGGAGGTCATCAGATGGGCCCCCGACAAGAGTGTAGCAAAGTGATAGAGAATTGGATAGCAAGTGATAAAGAATCAGATAGCAGGCAATAGAAAATTGGATAGCAAGTGATAGAGGATTGGAAGCGCCCTGGACCGACATAGAGGGCCGCTGAACATCTTGCAAGTGTGTCGGCAGGTTAGCCGAGACCCACGTAAAGGGCCCCTGAGCAACCGAGAATACCCCGGTAGGTTAAGATATGGGACCCCGGCTGTAGCCCAGAGCCTTCCTGACGAATGGAAAGAATCCGTGGAAAGGCTCGTGATTGACAGGAGTGCCCCGGCACGCTAGCAGGAAGGCCCCAATGACAGTGCAGGGCCCTCCTAGCAAATGCAAAGGAATGAAAGGCAACGTGGAAAGCTCCTTGACTATCGAAACGGTCCTGCAAGTGGGCATATAGGTCCCTCGGAAACAGTATGGGGTCCCTAGGCCGTGTTATGAGGGTTAAAATTTCCAGTACACAACTTTTCCAAACATTGGATATTTTTTTACTTCTCATAGGCTCTTCACTTTTGCTTACAACTGTTCTTGGTCGCCTGGAAGTTAAGAGAATCCAGTTGTGTTGTGTTTTGTGTTAAAAAACTGCACCTGTTCGGCCGGCTATGCTCCCCTCCCCCCCCCCCCCGAGCCCATAGGCCCCTTTGGGGCCCAAGGGGGCTATGGCCCCGTGCCCCCTCCTATGGATCCGCTCCTGGGCATGTAAAACTGAAATATTTATATTTTCAGGAAAAGTCTACAGTTGACCTAGCCTGGTAGGGCCAGGTCAAGTGCAGGTCTGTTAACATAGCTACAGACAACTATCTACCACTTATGGTATTTTATTTTTAACAATTCACTGCTTTTCTTTCGCAAGCCTTTATCTATCTTATGTTTGGTAACAGCAGGGGTAGGCGCATTGACCTACATCCTATTAGTTTGCGTTATGAAAGATGGCAAATAAGGGCGAAGGTTGTTCTACCTCCCATTAGTTTTAATTGTGTTCACAAAGCGATGCCCGAGCTACTACCCACTGATTTAGAATATCGACAAAAAATTATAACGGTTCATTTTTAAAACAATCCTGATACGTACAAACACCGCGGACCATTTGAAATGACATATTCTCCTTGACGAGCGTCACTCTTAATCCATTTTTCAAAACGGGATACCGATATTGCTTATAAAAGTGAGATAAAGAACAATGGCGTCGTTAGCTGAAGATGAAGCCTGATTTTCCGGCTGACGCCACTCCCGACTGGTGTGGCGCTCCCGACTGATGTGCTGACGTCACTCCCGACTGGTGTGCCGTTTCTGACTGGTGCGCTGACGTCACTCCCGACTGGTGTGTCGCTCTCCGAAGTAGACTAGTCCCAACGCATGCTTGATTATTGAGTAATGGGGCATCGTCAGCAGTCATGAGTCAATGGGCCATCGTCAGCAGTCGTGAGTCAATGGGGCATCGTCAGCAGTCATGAGTCAATGGGGCATCGTCAGCAGTCATGAGTCAATGGGGCATCGTCAGCGGTCATGAGTCAATGGGGCATCGTCAGCAGTCATGAGTCAATGGGGCATCGTCAGCAGTCATGAGTCAATGAGGACGGTCATGGGGGCATCCAAGATGTCGTTACTTAACGCCCTTGCCCATGCGGCACTCGCGCACTTGACTAGCGCAGTGCCGCACATTGCATTCTGTACACCATTCCGCCTCGCTGTCTGTTCGGGCCGCCTGCCATTCCCGCACGGCGAACCGGCCAGCGATACCCGAGTTGAGCAGTAGCACGCCTTGGTCACCACTTCCCGTGGTCGACCGCTGACACGTCCGAGGGAGGGGCTGCGGGAGGGAGGGGGCACGTGGCGGCGGCCGGCGCGGTCAGTGCTGAGCCGGCGGCGGCCCGTCCCGGCGGTGTGGTGCGGCCCCTGCGTCAGCGTCCACCGCAGTGTTCGTGCGCACGTGCCGACGGCATGGCGTCGCGTCGTCCGTCCGGCCGCAGGGAGGCGGACGGCCAGGGCAGCCGTGGCCGGCTGCCGCGGCCCGTCCGGCTCGAGGAGCCTATCCCGGAGCAGGAGCAGGAGACGCTGCTGGAGCGGGAGCAGGAGCAGGCGCGGGCGCCGCCGGCCGGCCGCGGCCCGCCGCCGCGCTCTCGGCGGGCCCCGCTCATTCGCTCCTCGTCTCAGGTTGGTTAGTGGTGGCCAGGTGGCGGGGTGGCGGAGTGTCACATGGGACGGCGCTGCGGCCACCCGTGAGGCCTCTGATGAGGCAGTGCCAGTGGCATTAATGGCAATGGCGAGGAGGGCTCAAAGGGGGAGCGAGGTCCGCAGTGGGGATTGGAAGGAGACTTGCAATGCAAACGTCTCAGCATAGCTACGATTACTTGTAAATGAGAAGATATATAGGGATATTCAATGAATTGCGTAAGTTGTTAACACGCGACCGGATGGCCGGTTAGATACCCTTTGCTTGGGTGGGGGTCAATTTGACCCCCTGAGAACTCAGGAACTGAAAGAGCTAGAGACACCAAATTCACAGAGTATCCTGGCACGTATGTGAACTCACTTAGGTGAGAGTTTGGGATCCTAGGTTGTGACATTCGGGGCAAATAAGGTCAAACAAGGTAAAACTCCAGGCTGGTATCCAAAGTGCCCCCAGAACGTAGATACCTATTCTAAGGAAAAGACACATGCTCAGTGAAGGTCAGTGACCCCGTTTAATCTTTCGAAGGTCATGGTGGCCAAAACCACACAAAACCCATTCTGACCTTAAGAAATGCCGTGGAAGATGTAAATTCTGGTCCCTGTTATCAATCAATGGGAAATGAGCATCAGAAACTACCCAATACAGCAAGCCCTAGAGTTACAAAACAGGCACGTTTGACCTCGGTCTTACCTTTGTATCTGACCCTAGGTCGATAGAATTTGTTCATTCAGTTGTCATGTTGTCTAATGAAGCATCTCAGAGACGTGTGGCTTCGTCCAACACTCCGCTGTGGCATCAGATTGAACGATTCCCCTGTAATCGACTTCGCTGAATCCATGGCCTGATTTTGATCTGCCGTAGGTCAGCGACCTTGTAAGTTGCATCCAAATTGTTTTACACCAAACGACCCCCAATTCAGTTGTCTATACCTATACAGCATTTGGCGCAGCTACGCAGCGCCGTTCGGAGATCATTCCGGAAAAACATTCGGGGGTGTTGGTTTGATCCCCACCCAAGCACATGTTTAGGGCTTTGGCGAGGAGCATTATGCTTGTACATGAGACAGTATCAATAGCCTTATTCCTCATAGAATAAACGGAAAAATGGAGAGATGGATGTGACGTTTGGGCTGCATGCCTTTATTGGAAGGAAAATCAGTAGCAAATTTAAAAATGTCAATTAAAAGACAATTATGAGCTCACAACTGGTACTTGTTTTGATGAAGGCATGTAGCAGAAATACACATATATTTCTCTGTTCTTCTGTTAATTGCATCAGAAATTGGGCTATTAATACTGTCTCATCGATATTCGATCAAAAACCATAGGCATCCGGCTCCAGGAGCCAGTAATCAACGGCAGACCTACATTTCGGCAGAGCACGGAAGCATGTAATGTAGTCACAATCAGCAGAGCCCATGTTGGCAAGCATTTTTCACATCAGGTTTCATGGGACGTCCCGCCTTGAGACGGTGAGGCAACGATAGGAAGCACGAAACACCAATAGGGATGGTCGAGTCGGACTTGCTGCACGCCCCGAAAGGTCGGGCGTGCGGTGCACCGAGGCGGCACCGGCGCCGCCTTCACTGTCCGGCATGCCCGCCGGGCAGAGTCGCGCCTTGATTGCGGGCTTGCGACAGCTGGCTGGCTGGACAAGGTCGGCGGAGTCCAGTCCTGCACGGCTGCGCTCGTGCAGGGGTCAGCCTCCGCTCAGTAACCGCCGGCCCTCTATCTGAGCACTGGGAGCCCGAGCACCCGCCACACATCCCGTCGGGGAAGCCGATTAGGGCAGCAAAGGCGCCGCTTCGTGGAGATAGCCTTCTTCGTGTCGCCTACGCGGGAGGCATGCAGGGAGCGTGCGCCGCGCCACTGTGCTCCCGTGTCTACTCCGAGTGGTAGTGGCGTCCGCCCGATAGTTTTCCATCCCACGAGCAGGAGAACATTTGTGTTGTAAATTCCGCGGATGTTATTGTATTACAGTGTGCACAGCAAATATGAATTGATTAAGGGATCGTGACTGGAATGCCACCGTTGCCATGGGAACGCGTAGATCACCGCATGTCATTGGTGTTGTGCATTGTCTGAAAGCCACCGTACGAGCGGATTGGATCTTGAATGCGATTAGCGTGGTCCAGTGGCGCCGGCCCATAGTTCCCGTTGGTCAGGTTGGTTTCCTGCGGCCGATGCACAAAGGTTATCCAGCAACTGAACATGCTGGTGGCCGGACTGGCACGGTCTGGCCGAGGCACATCATCTGACGTCATCATCATCATCACAATCAACATGACATCTTGTCTCTCTGCTGCCTCATCTGGCAGCTGGACAGTTCGAAGTGTGCGGAACAAGTTTTACATAGCCCATGCACGCGAAATAGGGGCTCCACTTGAGCGCCAGTTGTCATCAAAAGGGACGTGAGGTTCTTTTGCGCAGTAATTTTATGTTCAAACCTTTGCGGAAATAACGACCACGCTATGTAACCAGACCACAATAGTGTAGCCGATGAAACTCTTAAGGATTTTTGCGATTGGATGTTCATCTACGCAATGGTACATGACCTCAAACACTACGGTTGTAGATGGAAGTAACGGACAATGATGGCCTGCCTCAATGCGCATGATACGGTTTGGTTCTCTATTGAATAGCAAGTCCACCCAAGGAAGAATCATTTTTGTCTTCTGGCGAGTTCTCTCGAATCTTTTTGGACAGATGGGATTCATGGCACAGGTGAATCTCCCCAATAAGTTGGTGCTTCCGTTGCGAGTCTAGTGACGAGCTCGTTTGTTTGGTTGCCGTGAGCCGGCTACCGCTGTCATGTGAGCGGAGCGTATTATCAGCAGCGTAGCGTGGTGACGTCAGACCCGAGCTCGCTCCTCTCCCGCTTCTCGCGGAGCGTATTGGCAGCAGCGTGATGTGGTGACGTAAGGCATGGGCTCGCTCCTCCCCCGCTTCTCGCGGAGCGTATTGGCAGCAGCGTGATGTGGTGACGTAAGGCATGGGCTCGCTCCTCCCCCGCTTCTCGCGGAGCGTATTGGCAGCAGCGTGATGTGGTGACGTAAGGCATGGGCTCGCTCCTCCCCCGCTTCTCGCGGAGCGTATTGGCAGCAGCGTGATGTGGTGACGTAAGACATGGGCTCGCTCCTCCCCCGCTTCTCGCGGAGCGTATTGGCAGCAGCGTGATGTGGTGACGTAAGGCATGGGCTCGCTCCTCCCCCGCTTCTCGCGGAGCGTATTGGCAGCAGCGTGGTGTGGTGACGTAAGGCATGGGCTCGCTCGCCCTCGCCTCTCAGCCGCCGGTGATATCAGCGGGACTAACCAAGCGGTCACAGTTCAGCTGAAAAAAGGCGCGGCGTGGCTGACGGCGGGCATGCCGCCGGTTATGCACCCGGGCGGCTGCAGCCCCTCCCCCCCACCCCCCACCCCACCCCACCGGATCAGAGCCGCCGCCGGCCGCCGTGGCCTGCACCCAGCAAAAATGTCAGAGGATTGTACAATGCAGCGTATTGTTTAAGCTCTGTGTTTGCGGAAACAATATTTGGAGAGAGGGCGTTCGTGTCATGTGAATGCTAAGCTGGCTCCGAATGTACTTTTAATGTTGGTTATGCACAGTTATGCATACGATTCAAGGTAGCGAGAGTTTGGAACCTGCGCAGAACGGTTGTTGAAAGTCTATTGAGAAACGCTTGCCTCGTGAAAAGGGAAAAGGAGTCTCCTACATCTATGTCCTCCACAGCTGCCGTCTATTTTATCGAACGGAAGACCAATTTGCTAATAAACTGTATACATACTCTGTTATTGATATGCCATGCTTCTTTGCTCAACATGGCTTTTCGTTTAGACTAAAATTTCTCAACGTTATGGGCCTGCAATATTAAGCGGGCGGTTCTGGTAACACGTTGCGCCGTTCTGTCATCTAGCATGCCAACCCGGACAGTGAATCACAACCCGACTGACCTTTGTCGGGCACAACGGCCAGCGACCACGGCAAAAACCAGGAGCTAAGCCTGTCGTGATCTCTCACGCTTGAATAATGGACGAGCGGCCAACACATTCTGTTTCAGTTTGTGCCTGCCGCCATGAACTGAAACACAGTGTGTGCAGGCATTATAATAGGCCTTATGGCACATTGTTGCATCCGCAGTTATATTTTGCGCAAGCTACGATGATGTAGTTTCGTTGCCAGGGTCCTCCGAGGAAAAAGCATATATGACGTATTTGTATATTCCATAAATGTATTTTTATCTACTTTTAAGCATGTTTTGATTAAAACCGAGGTGCTTTGGGGTTCACAAACTGCACTGTAATTCGAAGTTTGTTCGATATCACGAAATATATTACAAAAGCCCACTGTAGCTTGGTTTTCAATGAAACGTGCTTTCAAAAATGTATACTGTCATACACATACGTGATTTGGAAATGGGTGCACTTAGTACATTTGCATCGGAAAATGACACTTTTTTCACAGTTCATAAAGTCTTGACGCGACCTAGAAATGAATTGTTTTCCGCCGAGCGACAGGGCAATTAAGGTTGTGAAGATGATGGTTTATGACACTAATTGAAATGATGCCTACAAACGCTCACGTGCAAAATCCTGTGGCAAATGTTACTGTCGTATTGCCCTTGGTCCCAGTCTTCGTCTCTACGCCATTGTGAAGGAGGAAGAGGTTATAAATGCCCGCTTCCCTCTCCTTTCAGGAATGGACAGGCTGGAAACATTCTGGGTGTGATGATGGCTGATAAAGGAACAGTCTAACTTGGCCTGAATTTTATGTTTAGACCAGCTGTAGAATACCGGGAATGCCTCGGAGCCATGCACGACATTTGGAATGAAAATGTTCGCATGTGGAATGTTGCATGTGGATTGTTCGCATGTTGCATGCGGACACTGTGGCGTGCCTTTATTCCAGCTACATGAATCCTCAGCATGATGCAGTGCCTGAGGGGGGTTGGGTCAGCAGGGGGGCGATGCTGGAAGCATGTAGT